CACAGGAAAAGCTACAGACCACCAGCCGGATGCGAGAGATACTGTGTTAGTTTCCTATTGCTGCTTTAACAGATAACTGCAAATTTAGTAGATTTAAACTACACAAGTGTATTGTCTTACAATTCTGGAGGTCAGAAGTCCAAAGTGAGTATCAGTGGGCCAAGATCAAGGTGTCGGCACAGCTACACTGGCTCCAGTAGCTGTAGGGGGAATCCCTTTGCTTGCCTTTTCCAGCTGCTGCTGGCCTCCTGCATTTCTTGGCTCGGAGCCTCTTTCTCCATCTTCAGAGCCAGCAGTGCAGCATCTTCACAGCTCTCTCTGCCGCCGATCCTCTGCTTCTGTTGTCATGTCTCCTCTGACTCTGCCATTCCTGCCTTCCTCTTATAACGACCATGCGATTACATCACGTCCACCTGAGTAAGCCAGAGTAATATCCCTGCTGCTAAATCCTTAATGTAATCTCATCTGCAAAGTCCCTTTTGCCAGGTGAGGTAACAAATTCACAGGTTTCAGGGCTTAGGATGTGGACATCTTTGGAGAGCCGCTATCCAACCTCGCTCAGAAGGGAAATGCAACCGAGAGTCCTACCCCACAGAAGGGGCTGGAAGAGGACAGAGGAAGCTTCAAAGCATTTATCAGATAAATGCCTGTGCCGGGTACTTTGGCTCTTGTTATTGTTGCTTTTGTGAGCACTGGGGTTTTTAAAAGCTTAGGTGATTCTAGCATGCCCCAAAACTTGAGAAATACTTTGACAGAGATATGCCAAGAGCATTTGCTGCTGCAATTAAGGGTAAAATCCTGGAGGTAACAGGTCAAGAACAAGGTGTTTCATTGCTGCCAGCTGGGGAGATTTTCAGAAAACTTTTTATTTTGAAATAAAAGTTGCAAAGAGTACAGAAATGTCCTGTATATCCCTTACCCCACCTCCCTAGTGTTAGCATCTTACAGAACCATGGTACACGCATCAAAACTAAGAAATCAGCACTGGTACATTACGACTAACTAAATGAATAACTTTATTGAGGTTCCCCCAGTTTTCCACCAGTGCACCTTGTTTTTTTTTCCTGTCCCAGGATCCGATCCATCATCTCTCATGGCGTTTAATTGTTAAGTCTCCTTAGAGTCCTCCAAACTGAATCAGTTTCTTAGGCTTTCCTTGGTTTCTCAAGACCTTGACATTGTCAATGAGTACTGATCAAATATTTTGTATAATAGAGTGTCCCTTAATATGAGCATGTCTAATGTTTTTCATGATTAGACCTGGGCTGTGCATTTGGGGGAAGAACACCATGGGGGCAAGATGCTCTTATTATGGCATCATAGAAAGAGTGTGTGTGATATCAACAGTACCTGTTACTGGTGATGTTCACCTTGACCACCTGGCTGAGGCGGTGTCTGCCAGCTTTCTCCACTGTAAAGATACTACTTGACCTTTTCCATGTTCGATTCATTAGAAGTGAGTCACTAAGCCCAGCACACACTGTAGGGGAAGGGGAGTGCCAGTTGTTTTTATTATCACAATTTCAATTAGGTTAATCCTAATGGCTTTATCATCACCTCACTACTTTTTGCAGATGTGGTTGTAATGAGCTAGACTTGCCCAAAGTTACCCAGCTAGTAAATGGCAATGCTAGAATCTGAACTCATATCTGTCTGGCTCCAAAGCCATCCTCTCCCCACTTCATGCTGTTGCTCCCAAGTAAAGAGGATTTCACAGTCTCCGAGGTGGGAGCTCCCTCCCAGTTTGCCTGGATGGTGCTTTTCAAATCAATCCATGGACTGTGACCCATCAGTAGGTCATGAGATCAGTCTGGGGTTTGCACTTTAAATAACAAAATAGAGGTGACTATAATAGAAAATAAGAGTACGTCACACATGTAGTAAGTATGGTTTTGTAAAACTTTTTATTTCTGTAACCTCTCTGTGCTTTGCTACTTTTATCCTGACAATGGGGATAAAAATAGCATCCCCCATAGGGCTGTTATGAGGATTGAGTGAATTGATATACATAAAGTGCTTAGAACAGAGGCTGGCACGCATTAAGCATTATATAAATATTACATACGTGTGTAAGTGAGCCGTGATGTAAAATGCATTTCTTGTTGTAGGCTTCAATCAAAATGTTTGAAAATACTGAACTCACATGTCTAGACCAGGGGTTGGCAGATTTATGACCCTCAGCCTATGGCCTGTTTTTGTAAATAAAGTTTTATCAGAACACAGCCACACTCATTCGTTTTTGTGTTGTCTATGGATACTTTGGGAGCTACAATGGCAGAATAGGGTACTTGTAGCAGAAACTCTGTGGCCCATGAAGCCTAACGTATTTACCATCTGGCCATCTAGTCCAATGGCCCTGCCTAGAAGTCACCTCATAACGCAGGGAATATTAGACGCCTCTTCCTAGGCATGTGGTCTTGTTGTGCCCCTGCCTTTGTAGGTATGTGTGCCTCTGCAGAACACTCTAGGCTGTGTGACTGCCAGGAACTTGGGTCTCCAGATGCTCATGACCCTTCTACTTTGAACCAATGCCTACATGGTAGAAGGCTAGAAATATGGTACTTTGGTTGGGGTCCCAGCAGGAAAGAGACGGCCATTCAAATTAGAATAATTCAAGGAACATTTAATAAAGATGCTATCTACAAAGGCGAAGGTAGAGTGTAGGAAAATCACAGAACATAGGAAAGTAGCAGAGAACTCCGAGGCAAGTAAAAGCAGAGCTGTTACCACCCTATGCAGGAGGGGCCAAGGGAGGGGGAAATTCCTGAACCTGGAAGGAGAGTCATTTAAAGAGGACACCTTAGGAGGAGCAGAGACTTTTATAGTCCAGAGAGGACGGCCAGCTCCAGGTGACCCCACATGTGGGGAGGGAGCCAGGAGAATAAATGCCTTGATTTCACCTTCCTCCATCTCTGATCTGTTGGGGGTCCCCAGGGGCCTAACTAACATCAAAGTCAGAGGGCATGGGACCCATTGATGTGGCCCATATGGGTCAGCTTCCCAGGCCAGAGATGGTTGAAAAGAGAAAGTTGGAGAAGGTTGGAAAGAGGCTCCAGAAGGGCAGACCTTAGATACCCAGCACACATAGCACTGATTTAGAAAGCCAGGTTCATTCACCTTCCCTAAGCTCCCCTAAGCAAGGAGTCCCCCTTGCTTCCTCCCTCCAGGTTGGAAGTTTGGCCCAAACACCAAAAGTCTGCCACAGCTTTTACCTTTTACTGTCTTCTCTTTCTGTACCTGCTAACCTCCAGAGGGTTATCGTGGGGTTAATCTTCCTGCGTCTTATCATCACCAGAAGGGTGTAAGGTTATGAGCAGAGGCACAGGCAAGCTGCTGTGTGTGTGTGTGTGTGTGTGTGTGTGTGTGTGTGTGTGTGTGTGAGCCTGAGCAGTATGTGTAGACTTGAAGGTTCTTCATGTCTAATCTTTTGATCTCAGGAAGGAGCTGTGCCCCATCCATCTCTGCAGCCCAGCTCAAATCCAACATGCAGGTGAGCCAACCTCTAGCCCCTTGGGAGAAAGAACCAGAGTGAAAAAAGCTACGTAGGCTGAGAAATGTCCCCAGAGTGATCTGTTCCCATTGGCCACACTCCCCACCCACCAGCCCAGCCTTCCTCAACTGGCATCTGATATGTTACAGTCCCCCAAATCCAGCCCCCAAACTACAGCTTATCACCTGGAGGGGATTCTCTGGCCAATTCCAAACACTCAATTTATGAGAAATCATGGGCTCACAGGGATGGCTTAGGTAGCCCAGCCACCTTGCAGCAGGGCTGGGGCCAAAAATTCAGGGCTGGGGACTCTAATCAGTTTCTACTAATATATTCCTTGTTCGGAAGATAAACGTTGTTGTCAGTTTTGGAGCCCTGGGAATGGACTTGGCAAAAATTCAAAATGTAGTCTGGTCTTAAACAAGTTTCCTTGCCAGGCTCAGTGTCTGAGACCACACCTCTGGACCCTCGGCCCCCCAGGAAACAGTTCTACGCAGGCAGGACAAAGCACAGCCTTGGTTCACGCCATCAGTGGTCAAAATCCACAGTCGCACGTGTTAGCGGCTGTTTGACCTTGAACATGCTACTTTTTATGTTAATGAAACTTGTTTTCTAGTCCTGTGAATCTGGCACTATCATCAATCAACGAGTTGTGTTAAATCTGGCGCCATACAAGCACCTTGCAGTGTCCAAAGGCCAAAAAACGATACTTCGTTATCTTTTCCTTCCAACTGGAAGACTAGTAGAATCTTTGCAATGACTTTTACAACGATCCAGACACCGACTAGTTTGATTGCAGCTGTTATAGCTTTGTGCTCTAACCCTAAGAAATGGGGACCTCTCACATGAACATGGGCAGGCCTGCTGATGGGCTAAGAGCACCATCCCATTTGTATGGACTCAAGTGTAATTACTAACATCTCAAGGTGCTCCTTCCTCTCTCCCCTCAAATTTCTTCAGAGAAACGAAGAGTTCAGACTCATAGCCCAAGTGCTAAGGTTTTAAATTAGACAACTTTGTCCTGACAGGAACCGAGTCACAGCTGTCACACCTGATTACTTTTAGAGTTACTACTAAACCCTTTGTACAGCATGAGCTGCCACTGTTGAAGGCAAACAGAAAGCTTCACATTTTATCATGACAGCTCTGGAGCCATCCACCTCCTCATGTTCATTATTTCCGGGCTGTCTTTGGAAGGGATGATGTGACATCCTGACAATTTTATAGTGAGGGAGGCAGACCCTGTAGCCTGTTACTACACCCGAGGGATTTTAAACCCCCAAAGCTGAGCAAAACCCACTGCCTCCAGGAAGCCAAGAAGAAATATTTCTGGGGGAAATAGCTGCTTCGTAGCCTTCTTTGGATGGATCATCATCTTTTGTAAGAGGCAAAAATTGACCCTCAAGTAATCAACCAATGAGAGTCCCTGTGTACCAATGCCCACAGGCGTTGGCTGGGATTGGCCAGCTTATAAATGATGTCACAAGTCCCTTTCTCTGACCTGACAATGCCACCACCACTGAAAAGGCCCACCCCTGACTGCAGCTCTTGCAGAGAGAAAAATTCACCGCAAGTAGAGCACCTTCTAGATTGCTCCTGTAGTGTGGGCTCAAAAGTCTCTGCTGTCCAAGTTACTGAATCCAGAAAAAAAATGATCTTATGAACATGGGAAAAGAAGTCCAGCTAAGGCCCAAGGTGAATGTCTCTTCTTACATCCACTTTTTGCTGAACTACAGAAACAAATTCAAGGAGCAGCAGCCAAACATCTACGTTGGCTTTAAAGAGTTCTCTAGAAAGTGCTCGGAAAAATGGAGGTCCATCTCAAAGCATGAGAAGGCCAAGTACGAAGCCCTGGCCAAGCTTGACAAAGCCCGATACCAGGAGGAGATGATGAATTACGCGGGCAAGAGGAAGAAACGAAGAAAGCGGGATCCCCAGGCACCAAGACGGCCTCCATCATCCTTCCTACTCTTCTGCCAAGACCACTACGCCCAGCTGAAGAGGGAGAACCCAAACTGGTCGGTGGTACAGGTGGCAAAGGCCACAGGCAAGATGTGGTCTCTAACAACAGATGTGGAAAGGCAGCCGTATGAACAGAGAGCAGCTCTTCTGAGAGCTAAGTACCAAGAGGAACTTGAAGTCTACCGTAGGCAACGCAATAATGCCAGGAAGAAGGGCAAGGTGTTGGGTAGGAACAAGCGTAGAGGGAAAACTTAGTCTGGCAAAGCTGATGGATCGACTTTGAGAAAATAAAATGCCATTCAACCGTATTGCCTGTCCCTGGTCTCATATGCAGTGTAAGAGCAGCCCATGGTGGCTGCTTTGGTGTGGCTTGGCGGAGGAGGGATTGGGGTGGGGAAACTAATCTTGGGGAGAGGAGAAGAGGGGAAGGAAGGGGAAGGGAGGGGAGAGGAGAGAAGGGAAAGGGAGGGGAGGGGTGGTTTCGAGAGAAGTGGCAACGCTGTCCGAAGGGTGTGGCTTAGGCAGGTGAGTGGTAGTCCCCAGGGTGTACAGAAGCTAGCAGTCATGAAGATAGGAGCATCCTGGCCCCAAGTGGTGATCCATGTTGGAGGACCCCACTCAGGGTCAGGTGCAGGAACACGAGGCCCAGTTCTGATGAGGAGGGTGGCAGGACTGGGCAGACTTCCAGGGCCAGAAAGCCTGGAGTTCAGTTAGGCTCCCATTTCAGGCCCCAAAGGAGAAATATGACAAGACTAGGAGCTCATCCCCGGGGTGGGACCAAGCCAGCAGGTTAGAAAACTGGAGTTTAGATGGGCCCTTGGGGACCCAGAGTTTCCAGCAAGACTTAGATACCTTTAGTGAGCCAGGATGAAACCCCAGTGGTGTTCCCTAGTCAAGATGATGAGGCTGGGGCTGATTTTATACACACAAACACACACACACACACACACACACACACACACACAGAAACCAACAGGGAGGGCCTCTGCCTGCAGCTCCCAGGCTTGGAGCATCCACCCTGTCGTTTTTCAGTGGACATAATTAAACTTACGGTGACGTGGCATCCATTCTTGCTCTTGGTCACAGCACGCTGACCCCCTTGGGACTCCCTTCGGTGGCCAAGGCTTGATCAGAAGACAGAATCCCCCTGGCCTGAATAACTGGATCAGTGACAGGCAGGCGAGCCAAGTTAGTCCAATCAGGGCAGATCTCAGGACTTTTGTCAGGAGTCCTGGGGGAGAATGCAGCCCAGGGGGCTGCTGACAGCCGCTTGCCATCTCACGGAGCCTGAGAATGAGGCTGTAATGGCAGAGTCCCTTTGGCAGCAGAGCATTCTCCTGGACTTTTCATTGAAAATGAGCCCACACGTTTCATTTTTTGCCTAAGATGGTTTGAGTCAGGTTTTCTGCTACTTGACAATAATTTGACACAAATGGGATTGTGTTCTAAGTGTCTGTGCAGTGCCTGGAGTTTTGGGCAACGATATACCGTGAGCAACGTTTCGTACCAATCAATAAAGATTGAAATGGAATATTTCGAAACGGTTCTTTTGACTTCTTGACATCAAAAAGATTGGGCCAAAATGCAAAACTGCTTTTTTTTTTTGTAACCAGGTTATGCATGAAACAGACCTCCCTCACTCCACCTCGAACCCCTATGCTCTGCCCGAGGACTTACACTTTCTACTCTACGGCACTATTTGAACTTTTACTTTCAAAACAAAAGCAAAAATCCATATCTTTGAGCAGTCTTTTAGGACCACCTTTGGGGACGAGAGGTAATATAGTGAAGTGATGTCGATTTCAGGGTTTGGAATCAGACAGGCATTTACGGAGGATTCCCACGTCCCCGACGCTGTGCTGGGGACGGGAGGTGCGTGGTGGACGACTGTTAAGTTCCCGCCCTGTGAGAACTTTCCTTCTGCTGAGAGGGAGGGACCTGGGCATAAGTCACAGCCCTGCAAGGCATGGTGCTGTAAGTGAACACACAAAGTGCCAGGGAGGGAGTGGGGACCACCCACCGAGCCTGCCCCGCAGTCTTCATGAAGGAAGCAGCCTCATTCCACCTGACAACCTTGTACGCGAGCTGGCAGCATTCCGCTCCCGTGCTGGGCCCCACAGCTGCGGCTCCAGCGTGGCTCTGCTCCCCCTCCAGCCCAACCTCCACCCTCTCAGGAGACGTCCTCATTTTCTGCTTCATTGAGAAAAGAGAGATCATCAGGCACAAGTGCTCTCCATTTGCTTCGTTCTCAAAATGTGACCCACACCCGTCCTTTCCTCCCGGTCTCCTGCCTCATGGGGAGCTAGACCCCTCCTGCGCCAGCGTCCCTCTCCCCTGCCTCCCTCAGGCCCCCACCCCTTACTGTGAGGAGGCTGACCCTTCAGTCTAAGCCTGCACAAGCTCACTTGGAGCCGTGATGTGGTCGTTCCCATCTTCACATCGGCAGGACATAGGGCAAGTGCTCATTCCTCGGAGCCTCAGGCTTCTCATCTGTGCAATGGGAATAAGGCCCGCCTTTACAGGTTGTTTTAGTGATTACATGAGGTGACACATACAAAAGTATTTGGCACAGTCCTGAACCCTAATAGGGGCTGTGGAAGTCACCCTCTAGGCTGGCTGTTCCATAATCCCACACCCTTCCTGCTATTCACACCCTTGTATAATTCCTTGCCATTAAATGTGGGCAGGACTTGTGACTTTCTTCTGACTAAAGGAGATGGATGTCACTTCTGTGATTATTTAATGATCTATAATACTCCATCTTGCTGGCCAATTGGCTCTAGAGATTCTCCTTGCTACCTGCTAGCCTGTAGCCAAGTTTGAGAAGCCCATGTGGCAAGGAACTGCAGGAAATCTCTAGCAGCCGAGGGAGGCCTCAGACCAACAGCCGGCAAGACCCAGAAGCTCTCAGTCCTACAGCCACAAGGAACTGAATGCTGCAGCAGCCACGCAAGTGGGGAAGTGGATCCTTCCCCAGTCGAGCCACCAGATGAGATCTTGGCCCTGGCTGATTCCTCGATTGCAGCCTTGTGAGACCTCAAGCAACGGACTCAGCTAAGCTATTTACTGGACTCCTGATCCATGGAAACTGTACAAATGTACGTTTAAATGTATAAATGTTTAAACTGTGTTGTTTCAAGCCACTAAGTCTCTGGTAATTTGTTATACAGCAATAGAGAACTAATATATTACTCAATAAATGCCAGCTTCTTATAATTCTAGAAGAGACTGTCTTTAGTCTTATTTCCACCTCCAGCCTCTACCCTCCCCATTTAATTTCCTTTCCTTTGTTACCAACCTCCTGAAGGTGGAGGGCCCCCTCCCGGCCTCCAGTGCTAATTAGATCCTGACTGGCACTACTCTGTAGCGGTTCCGGTTGGGCTGTCTCATTTCCAAGCTGAACCGTGGGCTCTTAGTGGGCAGCAGCTGTGTGATGTACCACACTGCACTCCAGGAAGAGGCCCCCGCACAGCCAGGCCCCAGCCCCATGCCACCCCTTTCTGGTTTCCTGTGTGATTAATTATGTGGATGTGGGTGGCCAAGTTAGAGCTTTGACAACAGTTCCCAGTGCCCCTGCTGAAAACTAACCCCATTAACAGTCCTTTATGAAAAAGACAACAGGAGGGTGTGAATCCGCTGGCTTCTAATGACTGTACTGTAATGACAGTGGAGGGGGAGGGAAGGAGGAGGAGAAGTGGGGGCGCCTGGACCTAAGATAATGGGTGAGGGGAAAAGCAGGCAGGAAATGCGGTGTGGTGCCTGCATGCCAGGCCCACTCAGCTGGCCTCAGGTGCCCCTGTCCTTGGGAGGAGGAAGGCAGACCTACACCATCTTGACGACTGAATCACTTCACTCCGATCCTTCTCTCTTAGAGCCTGCTTCTGTGTTCCTGTAGGCATTAATGAATTTATTCATTCATTCAACAAATATTTATGTAAATCTCATGCCAGCAATATAACAGTAACTGTTCTGGTGCTAGGCATACAAGGTCCCTCGTCTCTCATCTCCCTCCCACATTCTAGTGAGGGGGAGACAGACAATAAAAAAGCCAACAAATAAACACACCAGGTCATTTTTCTATAGTGTCAAGTGCTCAGAAGAAAATAAACTTGGGTAATGGCAACGAGATAAACAATGACTAGTGCAGTGGAGGGCACTTGGAATGGGTGGTCAGAGGTGACATTTGGGTTTCGATTTAAAGGACGAGAAGGAACCAGTCATGCCAAGGTATAAGGGAAGAGTCCTTGGAGCAGCAGGGAAGCAAGTGCAAAGGTCCTGAGGTAAGAATGAACTTGGCATGTTAGAGGGACAGAAGGGAGGCCAGAGTGACTGGAGGTGTGGAAGAATGGGCGAGATGTGGTTGGAAAGGTGCAGGCCTTGGCAAGGGGGGTTTATTTTGAAATCTAAGTGTAATGGAGAGCCAGGGAGAGTTTTCAGCAGGGAGGTGTCATGCACTTCCATCTTTGATTTCTTGTCATTGATCATTCTAGAGTCTTCAGAAACTATCAAGTGCCACGCCCTCCAAGGACTGCAAGAGGCAAGGCTAGAAAACACCAAACCCATGGCATTTTTCCCTTTCAGAGTGGAGGTCATGAGTAGCCTCCACTGGTATTCCTTAGAGCAGCTGTAAGCTAAAACCCAAATGTGGAAACTGTGAAACTTCTCTTTCTGTGATTTGTTTCCCCAGGAATGGAGGAAATGGGTGGGCATGAGTGGCAGAATATTCCAGGGCAATACTTCTTCCTGGGTCTTGCATTTCCATGGGGGACAACTTCTACTAGGCCAGTGGTTCTCAGTCTTGAGCCTGCATTAGAACCACTTGCAGGGCCTATTAAAACAGATTGCTGGGCCCCACCCCCAGAGTTCGATTCAGTATCTCTGGGAGCTGGACCTATAATTTGCATTTCTAAAAGTTTCCAGGTGATACGGATGCTGCTGATATCAGGACCACAGAATCTGTCTCCTTCACTCTGTGGAGGTGTGACTTGGCTGCCTGCTGAGTTGGGGAGGAAAAGCTGACCATACTCAGTTCACCCTCCCTCTCCCTCTCCTCTCCTCTCCCTCTCCCTCTCCCTCTCCCTCCTCTCCCTCTCCCTCTGCCTCTCCCTCTCCCTCTCCCTCTCCTCTCCTCTCCCTCTCCCCCTCTCTAGCTGCAGAGCATATGCAGGTATCTCTCTAACCAGTTCGTCAGTAATAAAGCTGACATGCTGATCCTCATCTGTCTTTCTCCTGCATCTGCCAATTGATTCTGCACTTGAGAGGGGAATAAGTATATTTATTTACTGGATTTTCCTCAAATCCCAAC